TTCAAGGTTTCGAATTCAGCTTTCATACGCTGGTGCGTGAAATTTTTAATTTTTTTCCAATTTTTGAAAGACTAAAGTACAAAGCAGTGAAAATCATTAACAGGCAATCGTTCGATCGGCTGAATTGCACATAACGCATGATCGCACCGGCTAGTATGGTGCGCGTTGCCATTTATTTTTTTTTGATGGAAATTTTCAAAAAATCGCACCATAAGTGGTGTTTTTGCTATTGGAGCCATCCCCGCCCATCTGTCCCCCTCTCCTCCCTTCCCACTCCCCCTTCCCATCTCCCAGTGCTGAATGGTCATCAGTGGCAGCTGCATAAGTGGCGAGTTCTTTGACTGGCTTGCTTGTTGTTGGCGTGTACTACTACCGGGAACCTGCCTGCGACTACCTGTGCTTCTCACTGGAACTGGATATGGCGAAATTTCGAAATTTTTTTGTCCGATTTCTTCGGTTAAAAATATTTGCGCAGCTTTTCCCCTGATCGCTTAAAGTGCGTTTTGAAAATTACAACGGTACGACCTCCTGCAGCGGAATAGGCATTGCTTAAGCTAATGAACAACGTTCAAGCTTCAGCCACAACTACCGGTACGGGGTTTAAACGTGTAAAAGTGATGTTAACGTTTTCATGCATTTTGTGTTGTGTAACAACAGTACAAAACGCATATTGTCACGGGGTTGTGCGTGTATGTATGTGTGTATGTGTGTGTATGTGTGTGTGTGTGTGTGTCCGACATTTTGTCCCGCACTTTCAACTCAAGAACCACAGAAGCTAGGCGGCTGAAGTTCTAGTGTAATATTTCCCGCCAATGTGTGACCCCGCAAATTCAAATCCAGCCTACCCGTACCTGCGGGTAACACGTACAGCCCCGTAAAAGTTTGGCCGGGTAAAATTATTATCAGGGGAACCACGGGAGCTAGAAAGCTGAAATTTTGTGGGCACGTCCCCCACCTATGTGCTATCCAGAAAATTTAAATTCAGCCTCTCCGTACCTGCAGGTAACACGTACAGCCC